TGAATTACACCATTAGAAAATGAGTCTAAGCAGCAGCCCACTCTCCATACTTGAGTGATTCAGAGGCTCTATCAGTAACCTCTAACATGGTCCTGATGGATCTCAAGAACGTTCTCTACCACACTGTGATGGTACAAGTATGAATTGTCTACTAAGAATGTGGCTCAAATATTCCATATTCCAAGCTCAACAAGAAGCATGCTTGCTTTAAGGTCTCTTACAGTATGACCTCAGTGATCTCAATGATGTTGGTGTGACACAAACAGCGACATGTGAGTCACAGTGCTATTAAGGCCTCTTAAGGCTGTGCACTGTGATTGGAGTTGCTGTTATAAGAGCACTGTGTTCTCAAAGAGAACTGTTGACAAGCTGATGTGATGAGTTGTCGATGATGTGACGTCTATTTTCAACCTGAGTAGAACCACCACTAAAAAGACTTTTCCATGGGTCTTTGAAAAGCTACTCAGGATACTGCATTTGGCATATTAGAAACACAAGAATTTCTGATCAGGTGTAATTCTTACAACCTAAATGAAGGGAAGAGGACAATGCTGATGGATATTTAACTGAACCAAAAGCTACACATACTTTACCAGGCACTATTCTGTTCATACATGTTGGAAATAGCCAATTCTGACATATTCGTAGAAATGTGTTTTCTGTAATACTTTACTGTTTTGTGTGCTGTGCTATCTTTATCATTACGAATAAAAAACGTTTCAAATCAAAGTAACTAAAAATAATGTATGTTGGCATGTCCAGATCAAATAACTCCCCATACAATCAGGCGCTGAAGGTAAAGATAAAATACCCAACCATCAAATTTGTATAAATATACAAAAATAAATAATTTTTTCTCACCAGTTTTCCATTATCTGACAACAGACCTGTCATTAGCACACATCTTGCTATTATCCACATTACAGTGAATTAATTTTTGACCATCCTCACACATTACATCTGCTTTCACGAGAACAGAGCCCTTCTCATCCACACATTCGTCCTTCTCTCCTAGCAATACCCAAGGCCAGGTTATTGATAAATGGCAAACTAGCTGTAAATTGCAATGTCTTCTCTCAGAGAGAACTTATCGAGTCACTTATCAACTCGATAAGTGAACCCAGTTCTGCCTGTTCAAGATCTGAGTGCGTGCACATGAAAGGGGTGGTGTTCAATGCATATGACCAATCAAAGACATGGACAAGTGGTTGGTATATGTCACAACGAGGAGCAAAATATGTATATTTGAAGAATATGAAGGAGTACAAACATTATCCAGACTAAAAGACGCAGTTACAGTTGCTAAAGGCAGGAAGGACAGCTGGTAGAAAAATCTATAATGGGTGAATGTGTAAGTTACGGAGCCTCCCTGGTGACATTTGGGAAAT